TATATCCCCCAAGGGGGTACGTACCATCTGCATGGTGACAGCGGTCACTGAGCAGCCAGAAATGCCACCTAGGTACGTAGATCAGTTGGGTGCCTCTTCTCAGTGTATTCCCGATGTGTTCGCTTTCCCTACTCACCTGGATTTGGGTTCCTTGAGACAGTTATCTAGGGCTGACATAGAGGGGGAACAGAAGAGGGATGAGGTCATTAGTAAGGTGAGGGCTGCTGTGCAACAAGGGTCATGGACAGACGACAAAGAAGCCAGCTCAGAGTTCAGGCTGTTCAAGAGGGAAAAAGACCGCCTTGTGATGGTGGATGGACTGTTACACAGAAGGACCCAGCGACCATCTGGAGAATATGGAACACAGCTGGTCCTCCCGGCTGAGTTCAGAGAGACAGTTCTACGATCCCTACATGATGACATGGGTCATCTAGGAGTGGAGCGACTGACAGATCTACTGCGGAAGCGCTTCTACTGGCCCAAGATGATTTCAGAAGCAGAGATGTACATCAAAGATTGTGGAGAATGTACTCTCAGGAAGACTCCAAGTAAGAGGATGGCTCCTTTGCACCAGATCACGAGCCGGGGGCCCATGGATTTGGTGTGCATCGACTTCCTCTCCATGGAGCCAGACTCTCGAGGGATCAGTAATGTGCTGGTCATAACTGATCATTTTACACGATACGCACAGGCAATTCCTACGCGGAACCAGAAGGCGTTAACTGTGGCCAAAGCCTTGGTGGAGACGTACTTCGTGCACTATGGTCTGCCAGCTCGGATACATTCAGACCAAGGGAGAGATTTCGAAAGTCGGCTGATCCGGGAACTGTTGGGGATGTTGGGGGTGCGAAAATCCCGTACCACTCCTTATCACCCACAAGGGGACCCCCAGCCGGAGAGATTCAATCGGACATTGTTATCGATGCTGGCTACCATGGGTAGTGAAAAGAAGGGGTCTTGGAGTCGACATGTCCCGTATGTCGTCCATGCTTACAACAGTACTAGGTGTGATGCCACGGGATACTCACCTTACCTCTTGATGTTTGGGCGAGAAGCTAGGTTGCCTGTTGACCTGTGTTTCGGCACGTCGCCAGATGAGACCGGAGACCAAAACTATTCCCAATACGTCGAGAGCCTGAAGAAAGATCTGCAAAATGCTTATGATCTTGCCAGCAAGACTGCTGATAAGGCACACAAAAGAAATAAGAGAGCCTACGATCAACAGGTGTGTTTCCAGGCAATTGACCTTGGCGACCGGGTTCTCCTAAAGAACTTGGGAATGAAAGGAAAGAGGAAGCTGGAGAGCCGGTGGAGTCCCGACCCATATGTTGTGGTGGGAAAATTGCCGGACCTCCCGGTCTACCGAGTGAGGCCAGAGAGTGGAAGCGGGGGTGTAAGAACTATACACCGCAACCATGTTCTGCCCATTAGCCACTCTATGAGGATGCCACAGGACAAGGAGCAAGGGAAGGCACCTGCAAAGCCAAGGACACGACTACAAGTAAAGGACCAGAAGCGTCAGTCAAGTGGAGTAGCACCATCCATGAATCTGGACCCTTCTGATTCATGTTCTGAGTGGGAGTATGAAGTGGTTCGGAGATCTTGTAGTGCAGGTCAACCAGAGGACTTACCTGCATGTGGTGGGGAACCTGAAGAGGGGTCTAAGGAGGCTGATGAGAGAACGGACCAAGACAGGTCTGAGGAGGCCATCCCTATTTCAGAGGACGAGAGTGGAAAGGAAACGGAGAATGATAGTGAAGAGGAGACAGAGCTCTCAGCCGGAGAGAACCAAGGGGGAACTCTAGATAGGAACCCGGATGGTGCCCCATTGACTACCTCTCAGGACTCTGACTCTGACCCAAGTTTAGAAGATGGTGACGTATCCCTTAGTAGGTCTAACGTCCAGCTCAGAACTCTTAAAAAAACGCCTACGACCCTTAGAACTAGGCCCAGATCAGAGAGGCAACGTAAACCAGTTATTCGTCTGACTTATGATGGGCCAGGGAAAGCTAGGGACCAGCCTATTACCATCGTTCATAAAGGGGTCATTATCAAGTTAGGATTTTAGGCCTTAGCCCTGTAGATCCTAATTGACACATGTAGTTGTCTCATGAGGACATGCAGACAGTTGGGAGGGGGAGGGTGTAACCCCGTGGTTTTTTGTTCATGTCTGTTGTAATTATTAGAGAACTCATAAATAAAAACGTGGAGTTTAATATATGTTCAATTTGTGTTTATGGAATATGCAAACCTATTGTGTTTTGAGTTTAATATATGTTCAGTTGTTGTTAAAAAAAACAAAAAAAAAAAACAATGTAACTGTAATATGTGGTTGCTTGGGATTTTATTTTGGTGGTCGGGGAAGGAGGGCTTCCGGTAGGAGAAGAGACGTGACGAGAGTGACAGGGAGGAGAGGACATCACTTGCTGCGAACTGTCACTGTTGCCGTGGACTATCGCGGTGGGAGAACACCCCACTGAACTGCTGTTCTTGCGAGTGAGGGGGTAGAAAAGGACTCCCGTCGACCTGTGGAGGTTGAAGCTGCGTGGGTGACTAACCCAGTGGAGAACAATCCCGTTAGGTCGCTAGCTCTGTGGCTACCGCTAGCGGGCTTCGGCGAACGGTTGGTGCCTAGCCAGCCGTGAGAGACGCGTGGACCTCGGAGAACGGTTGGCGGATAGCCAGCTGTGTGTGACGCGAGGACCTCGGCGGGGATTCTTCAACCTTGGGGAGAACATTGGACAGAAGCAGACGGACTACGGCACGTACGACCTCCTGGAGAGGGACGTATTCAGGTGATGGGGGACATGGTTGTTGGGGACGTTAATGGAAAGAGCGGGAAGCGCGTGAGTGCACCAACATCAGGCCTGCAACGACCGAGACTAATTTTTAGCTGCCGGCTTTAAGTTTCCTTTCTGTTTAACGAGGTTAATCGTACCATTTCTATTTCATTACTGACTGAAGAAACTGTGCTATTGTTCATTAAACTGTTTTATTTGTTTAAAACGTATGCTTATTCTACTGTTATACTTCATGGTATAAGGGGTAAACATTTAGAATATTCAGGTAGAGATACCAACTGATTTAAAGAACTCGGGTTAGCCACCCCCATAACGCTAAGGACGCTAGGGGGCGCTACATATATATATATATATATATATATATATATATAATTTCAAGGTTTTGTAAGAAACTGCTGGGTTTTACTAAGACTATTAAAGAAGAGTTAAATTTAAGAGAGAAAAAGAAAAGAAAAGAAACAAACTGAGCTCTAATTCAGTCATATTTCATATTGACTGTATGAAGATGTTAAAGATAAGATAAGATAAGATAAGATAAGTTAGAAAGGTGGTTATTCTAATTTTAAAGTTTTTAACAAGGCTGGATTTTAAAACCAAACAGGAGCCAACATTACTGATTTATTCTCCAACTCAATCAGTTTAGTAAAAGGAAGGAAGACTGCAGGTAAAGAGATTGATGGATGGACGGACTTATAAAGTTACATTCAGGGTTCCACAAGATAATAGATTTTAAACACTATGCCTGTGTCTCCTGAACTGGTGCAGATTAAAATAAAGTAGTTTTCCAGGTACAATGATATGCACTGTTGAAATTCAGGTAAGTACAAAATGTAAACAGAGCACCTTAATCTGCATACTTTACTCAACAAGTATCAGCACAAATATGTACTAGTACATCAAAATATTCAGTCTTCTCCATCCAAACGGTTTTCCATTGATGTCACCGTTGTTGACTTATTTTCAGTCACTTCAGCTGTTTGCAAAGGAATCAAACATGTGGTAGTCTGCAGATGTTTGTACATTTTGCTTAAAGATTTTTAAATTAAAGGCGCAATCTGTTATGTTTTCAGGAGGTTTGGACCCGAGACTGCAGAGCGACAGGAGGAGCTCTAATGTAAACTCACTTTTATTAAAATGAAAAACTGAACAGAAACAAAAGGCATGTGTGGCGGGAAATCGACTTACAAAACATGAGGCAACTGAAAGAGCGAGCCAACAATGCACTGTTGATGGATGAAGAAATTGCATAGGACTGATGAAAAAATGGAGACACCATTCATTGAGAGTGGGCGTGGCAGGCTGAGGTGGAGTTAGTGATGGCCCAAAGAAAAGCAGGGGAAAGCACAAATAAACAAACCTAACCCGAAGATCACAAAACATGAACTTAATCTAATCTTAAAACGTGAAAAGCAAAATGAGTACCTTTAGCTTTAATCCTCCGAGCTGAGGTAATTCAAGGAGCCATCTACAACAGGTAAGATAGTAAGTGTTCATATTGCATCTCCACCGAAGCCAACTCCAGAGGATCTGAGCCTTCCTTTTGGTATTAGTTGATGTTTTATTCAATTGTTAATTGTACAAAAAAAAGGTTTATCTTAAGATGAATATCAAACTTATGGCGTCAACTAACAGAAACTTTTTCTGAGTCATTTAATGAAGCTGAATTTTCTGTAAACTGAAAAACCCGCATGTGCTTGACGTCTTTAAAGAGTTCATTCCGAGTCCATGAGATGCGCTGAGCGCGTGTCACGCGTAACTCAGACCCTCTGAGACCCGCTGATGACGTGGGCTGAAGCCGCGGACGCGCGCGCGCGCCCTCCTCTTAATAATAATGTGTTGAGCGGCGCGTCGCTGTCGGTTCAGCACCGAATCCTGACGGTCCAACGGAGCGGAGGACACGCGGGCTGAGACTTGACTCCCCCTGAAGAGACCGAACCAGAACTTTTTTCCATCAGAGGACACAGAACTACTCGAGTTACTGAAAGAATTCAGATTTCTTGGTGTTTTAGAGAGAGCCGAGCCTGGAGGAGGAGGATGCGCTTTCACTGCGGATCGTGATGGTTTTTTCTCATAAACTAAGATTTTCTAACATTTGCGGCAAAATGTTGAGCTAAACTAATAAGTTGTGGCCAAAAAAAAAAAAAAAAAAGTTAATTTGGGTAATTTTCTAGAAGGATTTGTGTTGCGACTCCAGTCGGGATGCTGCTTGTAGTTGCAGCCTTGTTGTGCGTCGCGGCGCGCGGCCACGGAGCCACAGGTGGCCGCTTCGTGTGTAACGCCATCCCTCCGGGCGCGGAGCCCGGCTGCGGGTACGGTCCCACCGGGAACCGCATCCCGAGCAGCGGCCCCGTGGAGGACGAGCTGCGCAGCACGGTCCTGCAGCTGCGGGAGACCATCCTGCAGCAGAAGGAGACCATCGTGAGCCAGCAGGGCACCATCAAGGAGCTCAACTCCAAACTGGCGCGCTGCGAAGCGGCGGCCGACGACTCGACGCACGGCAAGTCCCGGGGTCAGGGCTCCAGGCGGAAGGAGTACGGCAAGAACACCATGGGGGACTTACCCCGGGACCCCGGCGAGACCATAGACCAGCTGGGCAAAACCATGCAGAGCCTCAAGGGCCGGCTGGAGAACTTGGAGGTAAGGTGGCACCAACACTTTGGATCTGTAACGCAAAAATCACCAAATTCTTCTGGACTTTAAAGGCCCAGCAGCCCTCAGAGGAATATCCTGATGCATGCTCAATTCCTCAGAGGAATGCATATCGCCCGCGCCTTTCTTGCCAGAGTTTTAGAAGACCAAGTGAGAAATAAAGAAGGTGTAGCCATTTTGGTCAAACATGGCCGTGGACTGAGGAATATTGTGATGTTTGCGCTCAGAGTGTGTAGTCAGGTACTGTCAGCTACTACCACAGGCTTAGCCTAATGGTGTAGCTTACAGCCAATAGCCATCTTGAATTGGGCTGACCCTCAATGTTTATCAGTTGCAGAAGTACAATAAGTGCTTCCTGAGTTCCATTGAAATAAAGAGTGGTTTATTAGATATTTTGCTAACAGACGAACAAAGTTAACTTCAGCAGTCAACGCCAAGGTTTTGAGACAAAGTGTACAATATAGTGCTCAAAATGTGTGCAAGGGACATTTTGCCAATTCTAAAGTTGGGTGGTTGTATAGCGGCCTTCTTGAATTAGGTTTAGTCCTAAAGTAATCAGTTTATCTGTCCACTGATTTATTTCTAAAAGTTTCATTAAAACCCATCCCGTAGTTCATGAGATATTTTGCTAACATGACTATAGTTAAATGCAAAGTTTTAAACACAAATTTTGTGCAATCAGTTCACGCTCAGAGCTTAAGTTGAGGCTCAGTCTCAGCTACTACCACACCCAATCTTAGCTCTTCGTCTGTAAAAGTGAGTGAGTTGTGAACATGTTAGTGTTGCCCAGACTGCTTTGCTGTGGCGGCCATATTGAATCTGGTTAACTCCAAAAGTTAACCAGTTCTAAGCGTCAACCTAATGATGACTTCATGAGAGTTTCATCGAACTCAGTCCAGTGATTCGTGAGGCATTTTGCTAACAGAACAGACACAGACATGTGGAAACTGCTTATACATATATTATAAAGGACCACCGAGGGGAATCAAAACATCAGAAGTTGTAAAGACCAGTCTGATGGTTCAGAGAGAAAAATCTGCCAAAAAAAATCTCGTCAAAGGTGTGATCATGCTGCAGCGTGTCCTTGAATAATTCATGATATGTGTTCCACATATTCTTCTGGTTTGCAGTCATGCAGCTAATAATTCATAGCAGATGATTAGATGAATTCCCCTTGATGTAATGGAGCACAAAAATGTTTCAAATTAAATCAAATATGTGGTGCTGTAGTCGTGCGTATCGATCACCTGGGGCTTCCGTTGTGCTGGTACTAATCGCACGAGGCTCAGAGATCAGGCATCGACGAGTGTTCAGTGTTTACGAGCTGATTTAAATCCAGACCTTTAAGCATTGTTTTGTCATCACACAGCCCTGACCAAAGGCTTTATTGATTCTTAATTCAAGGATATTTTATATAAAATATGCTGCAGAGTTGATCCGTCTGTTCCTGCTGTTGTTGTGAGTTTAATACCCTGATTAAATCAAGGATGAGGAGGGTTGTGATGTTGAATATTAACCACATATCTATTGATTGGGAATGTTTTAAAGCTAT